TGTCTTTTTCTTTTTTTGTCTTTTTCTTTTTTTGTCTTTTTCTTTTTTTCTCTTTTTCTCTTTTTCTTTTTTTCTTTTTTTCTTTTTTTCTTTTTTTCTTTTTTTCTTTTTTTCTTTTTTTCTTTTTTTCTTTTTTTCTTTTTTTCTTCTTTTCTTCTTTTTTTGGATACTTCTATCCGCGTACAAATGGTTAGTGTAAGCTGCTTTTCCCGTGCTGACATGGATAGGTATTTGGAGTCCTTTGCCTCCTACGGAATATTTTTGCTGACGGGCAGTTCAGGTGACCTGCCTAGGAGCGGGGTAGTGTACCCAAAGCTTCCTACCTCCCGTCTGTTAGACCTAAGGTACCAGGTAGGGAAAGCAACACACCCCCCTTCTTACTCATTCCTCTTTCACAGCCAGCGGCTCACTGTGAATCGACCCCCAGCAGACTTCCGGGCCTCTCTCGTCCCGATGTCTTCCACCCAGAATGGACTCAACAACATCTCCACAACCGGATTTCTATGACCTGGTAATGTCATTCCTCCGCCACGGAGACCGTGAATACCTGGCACGCATTCTGCAACTCTGGAATCCCGCAATCGACCCGTACTCGCATATGATCAGCGAAGCCCTACATCGCGCCATCTTCCTCGGAGACGAAGCTGCCGTGCGAATGATGCTCGACGCGGGCGTGGATCCAACAGTGCGGCAACTCTGCGATCCCAACTTCACCCCCCTCCTGACGGCTTCACAATACGGCAGGCGCGCGACGGCCCGTTTGCTCTGGCAAGGCCTGGGCCCCGACGGCCGGTTTTACCCCAGCAAGAGCAAGAGACCCCAGCTCACCTGTCTCCAGGTCGCTGCTCGAAATGGCCACGCCGACCTGGTCGCCGACTTCCTCGATGCATGGGACGGCTGGCCTGCCGACGAGAAGGATCGGGCGCTGCGTGATGCCGCATGGGCGTGGCGCGATGACGTCGTGGCCTTGTTGCTGCGCAAGGTTCGCTATGAAGCCGATGCCATTCAATGTGCTCTGGAGCAGGGCGTTGGCAACAAGCTAATCCTCCCCGAGAACGAAAGAGAACGTCTCCCTGGTCCCGAGGATTCCCTTCGCCAGGAGCGTCTGGTACGTCGACTCGTCGATGCCGGCGGAAACCTAGACGAAAACGACCGCAGCTACCATTGGCCCCTTATCCACAAGGCCGCAAAGGTCAAGCGGGCGGCCGGCGCCTTACGAGCGCTCCTCGAGAAGAACGCAAATCCCAACGTGCAAGATGCCCGGGGCAGAACCGCTCTCCACTATGTGTTCGAGGGAGGAGCGCACTTCTCCATGGATCCTCCTCTACGCGTCCTCTTGGAACACGGCGCATCGCCCGAGACGGCCGACCAGGCCGGAGAAACACCCCTTCACGTCGTTGCCAACACCGGAACCCTTCCACAATTGCTGCTGTGCCTTGCGCACTCTCGCGATGCAGACGTCGCCATCCGCCTACGAAATGCACACGGGGAATCGCTCCTGCACTACGCCGCAGCCGGCGCGAGGGAAGACATTGTCGAGTTCCTGCTCCGCCGCGGCCTGCACATCGATGCGAGGAGCGCCAACGGGTGGACGCCCTTGCTGTGTGCGCTGGCGCCGACCAGGATGAAGGCCGACCCTGCCAGACACCGCCTCGCGAGCCTCCTGCTCCGGCGGGGTGCGAGTGCTCGGGTCGTGACCGAGGAGGGGTGGACTCCGCTGCACGCTTTGGCGACGGCGTATCCTTCCGTTTACGCTGGCCAGAACCCCCTCCCTTCCCCGGGGGCTAGGCGGCTTGCTGGGGAGCTCATCTCACGCGGGGCACCTACCGACGCGGAATCGAGGGTGATTCGAGACGCTTCTGTCACCCCACGAATGTTGTATGATGTATGGGGGTATCGAATGCAGAGGTTCGCCGAGGACTCTACGCAGGCTCCGGCAGGTAGTACGGCCATCGACACTACGCCGTACATGTGGGCTATGCGAAGCAACGCAATGGACATCTTCGACGTTCTCATGGCGCACTTTGACTCGGCTGCTCGTGATGGCGCGGTAGGTGAGGTCAGCAGGCGGTAGGTCTTTATATTTCAGGTAGGTCTTGATGTTCAGGTAGGTCTTGACGCTCCCGGTAGGTCTTGATCTTTCAGGTAGGTCCTTCTGCTTTCAGGTATTGTATGCACCCTTTCCAGGTCCCCGTAGGTCTGCGTAGTATTTGCCTTATTCGCCCGACTTCATATCGAGACGAGTCTTTCAGGGACGTCAAGGGCGTACATACGGCGAGAAGACCAGGACAAGTCTTCCCATAGCGAATGGACGATAGTTGGCGAGAGGCCGATCACCTGGAAAAGGGAGTCCCAACGTCCCAGCCCTTCGGCAGCAAACATGTATGGGTACTTCGTATTACAAGCTGTCTGAGGTATCAATATTTACCTGTGTGCATATGGACCCCATCGCTGCCTGTTGTTCAATCCTCTCGGAATGACCTTGGCAGACCTGCGCAATCTTACGCCAGAAAAGGCCCTGGAGAAGGGTCATCTTCAACAGAGCTTGCAGCTGGTTCTCTTCGCTCTTGACTTGCTGCACCAAGCTGGTGTCATCCACACAGGTATGTATTCGCTGCCATCAAAATATCTGTTCTGGATGGGAGAAGAGAAATACAAAGGCGACGTGATGCCGCAAGTATTGGGACGATGAGGGTATATCACTGCTGGCCCAGTGCTTTGCCAGCCAAGCTGGTTGGGACTTTCAAGCTGAAAGTAAAACCTCGCAAGAAACTGGATTGCATCCACGCCAATCCCTGAGCAATCCTTCGAGGTGCGGGAGCATCGCTTGGAAGGGGAAGATGGTGATCTCTTTGTTGCCTTTGCTCGTAAGGTGTTGCGCTGGCTGCCCGAGAGACCCCGGGCCGATGAGCTTGGAGGTGATGAGATTCTCATCGCAACATATTCGAGAGAGGGAGAAAGCGATGAACTAGCGTAAGGGTCATTGAGGAGCTCCGTTATCTCCTTGGTCTCGATTTCCATTCTCATCGTGGCTGAATGCTGAATGTCAACGTGGCAGAGTTCGTACCTGTAATACTCCGTAGCTGGTCTCATGTCACATCCCCCTGAATGCTTTGTCACCAGGTCCACATGCCGAGGCTCCGTAGCTCGCCAAAAATTACCCAAGGTACCTTATTTATGTTGGGAAGCTTCCAAGTTCTTGTGTCAATTTATTACAGCCAGTTCACACAACACGGTCTACCGCACTTATCCTGGACAAACTCGACGCTGTTGCCAGGGACAGAGCTGAAGACAGTCACGATGGCCTCGAAAATCACCCTGAGACTGGCCAATAGGTGTAAGAATTCCAAATTCCCATACTTCCAGTCTGCATTGCGAACCCTCAGGGTGCCAAGACCAAGACAGACACTGACAAGACTGCTCAGCGCCCAAGCAACCGATCAAGAAGCTCCCGCCTTCCATCGAGGTCCCGGCGAACATCACCATCGAAGATATCAAGGCGCTTATTGCCCGGAAGACGGGTTTCTCAGACCACAATCGCATCGGCCTGTTCGACCCCTCCACCAAGAAGACCCTGAAGAACCGCAAGGCCGAGATTGGCAATGAGCAGGCTGTCGTATCTACTGGGGAGCTCCTGGTCAAGGATCTCGGTGCGTTTTGCCCAAACTATCCGCCGAGGACAATCTTCCTCTGATTTTCCTCGCGCATAAATTAAAAAGAAAGAAGAAAAAAGAAGAAAAAACAACGCTGACACGCTTCCCCCCTAGGCCCGCAAATCGCCTGGAAGACCGTCTTCCTCTTCGAGTACTTCGGCCCCATCCTCTTCCACCTCGCCGTCGTAGCGCTGCGGCCCCACCTCTACGCCGGGGCGGCCAGCACCCCGCTCTCGCGCACGCAGCAGCTCGGCCTGGCGCTGTTCGTGGGCCACTTCGTCAAGCGCGAGTACGAGACGCTCTTCGTGCACCGCTTCTCGGCCGCCACCATGCCGGCCCGCAACATCTTCAAGAACTGCTTTTTCTACTGGACCTTCAGCGGCGCCCTGTGCGCCTGGGAGATCTACGCCCCCTGGTCCCGCGCCGCCGCCGCCGACGGGCACGACACCTCGCAGCTCCTCGCCGCCGTGGGGACCGCCATCTACCTCTTCGGCGAGGTCAGCAACGCCGTCGTCCATCTTAACCTTGCCGGGTTGCGGTCCCCTGGTGGGACGGAGCGGAAGGTGCCGCGCGGGTACGGCTTCTCGCTGGTCACTTGCCCGAACTACATGTTCGAGATTTTGTCGTGGGTCGGCGTTATTATTGCCTTGCAGAGCTGGAGTACGGCCGTTTTCATCTTCTTTGGCGCCGCACAGATGTATGTCTGGGCGAAGGGCAAGGAGCGGGCTTATCGCAAGGAGTTCCCGGATACGTATAAGAAGAAGAGGTTCGTTCTTCTGCCTGGGCTTCTCTGAGGGTCTTCTCCCCATGATATGAGAGGGTGTCGCTGCGGCTGTAGCGTGTAGCGTTCTGCAAAAGAAGGGAAATGGGTCACATGCATGGGGGGGTGCATATGGGAGACTGTTTGGGATGAGGGTCAAATATTCACGGCTTGATCCAATTGCTCGTAAAAAATGGTACGCCGTGCCTCGGGAACTAAAGGACAGGGAAGGAGGAAAAACTTGCTAATTGGACACAGTTTAATATGTCATATGCAGAGCAAATTTATCATTCGTCATTAGACATCGTTATATACGGATCCTGTGCGCTTCATGTCGTGTCCTGCATGGTGTCGTATAGCCCCGACTCGTGACAGGCCTTCACATCGTCGACAGGAGGTTTGTGAGGTTTTCTCCGACCTTCGCCTGCCCATTTTCATCAACTGGCCCCAAAGTGCGCAGATCCGTCCCGAATACTGCCGTCACCCATGCTTACATCCCCGTCAGCATCTTGTTCCGCCCTCTTCCCCTTGCCCCTCAACTCATCCACAGCAGCGTCACCACCTTTACCCAACCTCCCACTCCCCCGGCGAGAACGACAACAGCTGCCACTACACCAACTCGCCTCGCTCCCTTCCTCTCCCTCTTCCTCATCCTCCTCACCCCCCCTTCCCTCGCTCCCACTCTCCGCACTCCCCTCCTTCACAAGCCTCACCGTCTCCTCCAACACGAGGAACTCCCTCTCCAACACCTCGGCCCAATTCTGCACGCTCCCCAGCTCTTTGACCCGCCGCGCCGCATCCGCCGACCACCGCGCCAGCTTGTCGTTCTCCACCCGCAGCGCGGCCGTCGCGCGCCCCACGTCGCGTTCCTGCCGCGTGATCGCCGCCGCGTTGCCGTGCAGCGTCCTGGCGCGCGTCTGCAGCTCCGAGTCGAGCAGGTTGCTTATGGAGGCTACGATGGCCGCGCGGGCTTCCGAGACGTGGTGGGTTTGGTCTCCTGCGGTGCGGGCGGACGATGGGAGGGATGTCGACGGCGGGGAGCGGCTGGATGATGATGTTGTCGCTGTTGTTGCCGTTGTTGTTGCTGTTGTTGTTGTTGTGGTTGTTGTGGTTGTTGTGGCTGTTGTTGGTGGCGGTGGTGCAGCGGATGTGCTTGCAAGTGAAGGGGAGGGGCGGGTGGTGCGTGCTGGGTCCAAGAACAGGCTCGTGGTGCTGGGTTGGTTGGAACAGGCAGATAGGGACGAGGATACGGTTATGGGCGTGCTTTTGTCTACCGACATGCTTGTGGTCAGGGTTGTTGCAGTCGTGGTGGAAGGAGCGGACAACAGCTGCGCCGCTGGGTTCGAGGGCGGAACGGAAGATCGCATTGGGGCCATTTCTCAGCTTCTTGGGGTTGTTGTGTACCAATCTTGAGTGACCGGAGTAGGAGCGGATATACATGAGCAGGTGATCCGCTTGTAAGGTAACGAAGGGCAGAGAGTCAGAAGTGTAACCTGTGGTCTGGTCTGGTCTGGTCATGTAGCTTCGAGATGCCCCGCACTTGGAGCTGCAGTTCACCGAGACTCTCACCGAAGCGACCGAAAGGGGGGAGAGAGAACGGCGAAGGGAGACATGTAAATTATTACAGTAGTTCCCCTTAATTCGCAGAGACTACATGCAATGTCATTAGGATTATATTGGCTTCCACCAACATTCTGGCCATTTGTCGGGAGGAAAGCCTTGAATATTGGGCGAATGATTTCTGAATTATTGACATATAAGGCCAAGGAGTGCGCTCCTTGTGATACGAGTATTGACTAAGAGCATCTATCCTTATTCTGGCACTGGTAAATCTGATCATCTCCCAGTGGCTGAATTCCCCTCGAGCCTTTCTTCTGATTTCTGAAGACACCGTAATGCCTAATGGATGAGTTCCTTGGAATAAATGGATGAGCTATGAGTTTGGAGAGCTTCGAAGAACACAACAAGGGACTAACTATAATGTTGCCTATGATGTTATACTCATAGCTTTCATGATTACGGACGCTCACATTGTTTGTCATGGAATAAGATAAACCATCTCACTCTTAAAGATGTCCTTAAGGTGAAGACTGGCCAGCATCCTATCTCTTTATTCTAAGTTATGACGTACTGACCCTATGATTGTTGTTTATTTAGATATTAAAGGGGACTTAAAGTCCTGTCCAACGTCCTCCTACTACGGACTCACGAACGCCACTGCATATATTCTTGTTACTTGGACTCAAAATAAGACACTCATTAAACCAGTCATGGCATTGCACGCATTATTCAGGCTCCAGATATAACATAAGGTAGATGTAGCATTCTTCCTCCTAGGGCCTTTGTTCAGTGAAATGCACTATATTGGAACAAGATGAGGTGAGTTCGGCGACTCGCCTCTTCTAAGCGGACCCCGGGATCGGCTCTCTCACCACTTATAACGTTAGATATACAGAATCATTCTTCCCGTTTTTCCTTTCTTCGTCCTTTGGCCGTTCTCTTACTATCTTACACTCTTAACAACAGACGGAGAGAGGGCGTTTTCTCTGACTTCAACAGGGCCGCCTCCTGCAGTGGCTGTTGCCGTGTCCATATGTCCATGTCCATGACATCAAACTCTGCCCTCCAATTTCAATCGCAGTTGCTCTGTCATTCGTCATGAATTCGCGAGGTTCAAAGTCGAAGGGTATCGAGGATCACACCAACACGAGTGCCGCCTTCCGATTTCGCGCATACCCCAAGAGAGCAAAGAGACGCAGACACTTGAGCAGGATCGCCCCAAGACCTTGGGGTACACCGCCCCTCGACCCGACTTCTCCTACTTTCTTTCCCGGTGGCCTTCGTCATCCTCCGTCAGAGAAAGGTGAAACAGAGAAAGTGCAGGCGCTTTTGACGCAGAAAGGGGATGGAGGCCCTGACGGATCCCAAGTGCAGCTTGGAGACCTGGAAAAAGTGAGTTTAGGTTTGGAGCAGCGAGGAGACGATGAGGCTCACATAGTTCCAGTTTGTGGGCCTTGATACGAGAGGAATCGCCTCTGCTCCTGCTCCTGCTCTTGTTCCTGCCATTGCTCTCGCGCCTGCCCCCAAGGACCAAAACAACGCTCGAGATCGAAACGAATATCCCAACGGCCTGCAGAGACCTGCAACCCCCACTTCACCATCCTCATCGTGTTCCGCGACTGTATTTTACACCCCGCCCCAGCAGCCGGGTCAAATCGTCCACAGAGTTGAAAAAGCCAAAGAAGCCGAAGTCTGGGTGACAGCGCCGACCTCTCCCGCCGCATGCGACTCGGACAATCGGGACGGAGAGAACCAACAACACCGCGACTCGGGCTGTCTTCCGACTAGTAATGATTCGTCAACTATTTATGCTTTCCTTGAACACGAGCTGGACAAAATGACGGCCAAGTTCGAAACCACCCGCGCGGGCCAGTCGCCCGCGCGACCTACCGATCTATATCTATTAGAGGTGCTGGACCTCCTGGAGTACGGCCAGGCTAGGGACAAGGAAAATCTGGGCCGTGGGAACAAGGTTATCGAGTGGCAGAGGGAGAGGAAGAAGCGGCTTAAGAATAAGAGCGTGGATGGACCGGTGGATGAAACGGCGGTGGTGACTCCGCGGCTCATGGACGGCAGGACGTTCGAGGACGGCCAATCTACCGTTTTTGCCATGGATAACTGCTTCAACCCTGTGTACAGTACGGGCGACGACGTGCCCGAGGAGAACCGCGACGGTTGGCCTCTGCCGAAGGATTACGCGCTCGCAAGAGCCCTGCACCGGGACGGGCGCGTGTCATCACACAAGTTCCCAGCTCCCCTACTAGGCCGTCGTTTCCGCACCGAGGCTGCCGAGCCTTCTGCTTCTGGCACGAACGAGAAACACAGCTCGCTGGAGTACAAGCTTGGACGCGCTGTGCTCGACAGACAGGCCCCGGCTCCCCTCGACGAGCAGCATCATGGGCTTTCCGCCGACGAGGACGCGGATCAAAATTATGACTTCCTTCTGGAGAACTTGCATCCAGGGTTGGAGCACCTCATCAGGGATATCGAGAATACCGAGTTTGAGTAGGGCCGTCTGCGGCGCTCCGGTCCTTGAGAGGGCGGCAGAGACTACTATGGTCGTGCACTTGTGTGAGGTCTCAACTGGTATGACACACCGGGTCTTCTTCTACCCAGGCGTACCTCGGAGCGTTTGGTTGCGTGATCATCATTCGCGGCATCTGGATACCTTCTCGTGTACGAGCAGTAGGTTTATGGAAAAACAGACCTGACATAAGCAGAGTTGGATCAGTGTTCGTTGGACGGGACGCAGAGTTGGTAAAGTAGGAACGAAATGGCGTTTATGGACTGCAGTTAGATAGTTTGTCTCATCATCACAGGCAGCAATTAACGGACAGGGAGTCATGGACTCATGGTGACCATCATCCTTCACCGAGCATTTCCAAGATTGACCCCTCGGTGACTACCTAATACGGGGTCGCGAAGTGCACGAGCCACATGACTGTCCCTGCACTGTACCATAATCACATCTGTGGCTGGTGCTCTATGCCTCAGGCAAAGAACAAGCCCTACTTGGCTCGTGCGTTCCCCACCTGCAACGTAGCGACAGCCCACAGCTAGTGAGCAAAAAATAATTCCGACCCCTTCCCCATCTACGGCTTGTGTGCGAAAAGTTTCAACCTCAACTTCAACAACCCTCCACGCCCAATCCGCCCAATTCCGTTCCCACCCATTCTCGATTGCCGCTGGTGAGATCGATATTCATCAGGTTAGTTTGATATGGACCACGAGAGCATTCGAATCAACGACCTTTTTCTTCTTTCGAGTTGTAGAAAGGCCAAGCTCCGACGACGTTGACGGCGGCCGAATTGTCCTCGTGTTCTTCCCCGTCCTCCCCATCCCGCCATCCCCCCATCCCCCCATCTCCTACCCAAGTACCCTCTCCTTCTCCTACAGATACTCACGACAGCCGTGCTGACCACTTTCCCCATCGCTTACAGAAACCGCAATCATGGGTATCTCTCGCGACTCTCGTCACAAGCGTTCCGCCTCCGGCGCGAAGCGCGCGTTCTACCGTGCGTACCCTCGAAAGCCCGTATGATTTTTTTTCAGCGGGGCCTGTCCCTTGCGGTAGAAACCTAGAGATAGGGGCCTACCCGGGGACGGGCCCTGGCTGCACAAAAGAACCATGCGTTCTGACCTTTTTATCGTCAACAGGGAAGAAGCGCGCTTTCGAGCTGGGCCGTCAGGGTGCCAACACCCGGATCGGCGCCAAGCGTGTCCACACCGTCCGCACCCGTGGCGGTAACCACAAGTACCGTGCCCTGCGCCTCGAGTCCGGCAACTTCGCCTGGTCCTCCGAGGGCACCACCCGCAAGACCCGCATCATCGGCGTCGCCTACCACCCGTCCAACAACGAGCTCGTCCGCACCAACACCCTGACCAAGTCGGCCGTCATCCAGATCGACGCCGCCCCCTTCCGCCAGTGGTACGAGGCCCACTACGGCCAGTCCATCGGCCGCAGGCGCCAGCGCCAGCAGGCCGCCGCGTCCGGCGCCAAGCCCGAGGAGGAGGCCAAGAAGAGCAGCTCCGTCGAGAAGAAGCAGGCCGCCCGCTTCGCCGCCCGCGGCAAGGTCGACCCCGCTCTGGAGAAGCAGTTCGAGGCCGGTCGTGTGTACGCCGTCATCTCCAGCCGGCCTGGTCAGTCTGGCCGCTGCGACGGCTACATCCTCGAGGGCGAGGAGCTTGCTTTCTACCAGCGCAAGCTGCACAAGTAAACTGGCAGCTATGTTGGTGGCGGCATGCCTGTCGCGGTGCGATAGAAGGAGGTAGCGGGGGAAAAGGAGTGTAAAGGAGGAAATGTTCTGCTACCTTCACGTCCAGCGGCAGGGGCGGAGGAGAAGAGAGGGAAGGAAGAGAGCGGACGAACAAGAAAAAAAAATCAGAGGCGGCATATGGGACCAACACGATTTTTTTTTTTCACTCTTACGGACAATGGCTTGGTGTTCGAGGTTCCTGTTTTTCCATCGTCGTCTGGCATCTCGGGGCGTGATACCGCTACGGCTGGTTATTACTCCGTGTCGCTCGACTTTTTAAGAAAGGTACGGGCGTTGGGAATGAATGGGCTGAAGAGGAGAGGCATAATCCCCTCCGCTGATTCATAAATGTGATGAAAAATAAGAGAAACCCAAGTCATGTCCAATTGAGCCGTGTGGTGTGCTAACACGGAGTGCATTTGATGTATGGTTGTCCTGTAGGTAAACCGTCGGATGCCTCGCAGCTCACTCAGTTGATTGAGTGATGGCTTTTTCTTCGTCGTGATATGTGGTTCTACCGTTGATGTGTTTGTGAAGAATACTCTTTACTCCGTTCCACTCCATCAAGTCTAATTCTGCCAATCGAGCCATCTATCAAAGAATACTCCTATCAAAACACGAGTGACCTCCATCAAGATGGAAAAGAACAGGAGCTGGTAAAACAATGTTACCACGCCTCTCGATCCAGCGAGGCGAGCCTGCTCTGGGGTGATATAATAGGAAGAGCAAGAAACGAACAAAAGGAAATTCGTGAAACCCATGTGCTAGCATATGCGTAGCCTCTTCTCTCTAGTCATACAACAAATATGGCCATGCGGGAGCGGGAATCCAAGCATGCCCAAAGAAAAACTGCCGATCCCTCAACACCCTGTTTTGATATATCTCCAATATGTATGTAGGTTTCCCAAATTCCGGGGGGGCGCCAGGCTGCATGACGCTGTTTCATGCGAATTGCCGCTTGAGATCGGTCCACTTGCGTGTAAGCGTCTCGTGTTGAGAATTGATCTGGGGGAGAGTCACGTCAGTCACTCGGCGAAAAAAAAGAAAAGAAAAAGAAAAAAAAAGAAAACAAAAAAGGAAAACCCGACACAGCACGACATACCTCGGCATACTGCATCTTCGTCTGCACGAGCTCCTCCTCAAGTTCCGCCATCTCCTTCTCCAACCGCTGGTTCTCCTCGTGCACCTTCTCGTTCCGCTTCATGAGGTCGTCCCGCTCCTGCCGCCAGGCGGACTCGAGCTCCTCAGGCTGCTTCTCAATCACGACGCGCAGCTCGCGCACCTGGCCCTTCAGGCTCTCGTTCTCGTCCCGGAGCTCCTCGTTGTCGACCTTGGTGTGCACTAGCTCCGTCGCCAGCGCCGCCTGCTCGCGGTCGCACGTCTCCACCCGCTCCTCCAGCCGGCGCACCCGCACCGCCAAGCTGGCGTTGGCGGCCCGCAGCTGCTCCAGCTCCGCCTCGCGCCCGCGCTCCGCCCGCGTCTTCTCCTCCCACTCGGCCGTGTACGCCTTGAGCGTCTCGGGCGCCATCTTGACCTCGCACGCGTCCCGCACGAGCTGGTCCGCGCGGTACACCTCCTTGTCGATGCTGGCGCTCGAGCTGCCGAAGAAGCCGTTCTCGAGGATGCTGCCCGCGCTGGGGTCCCTGTCGATGTACACGTCGAACAGCTTGTCCTTGAGGTAGGCCGTCAGCTGCGCCATGTCCGACATGCCCAGCAGCGTGGCGGCGTTCTTCTGCATGAGGACGAGGCCGAACCGGAGGATGGCCGAGAGGCCCTCCGACAGGATGAGGTCGTAGATGCGCAGCACGAGCTGGAGGGGGAAGCGGTAGGCGAAGAGCGTGAGGAACCACTGCGTCGCGTACAGGTGGGGCGAGATGCCGCGCCGGTGGAGGTGGCAGTAGAGCGCCGGCTCGAGGTCCTCCAGCAGCCGCTCGAACTGGTACAGGCGCATGTGCAGGCCCGGCATGTCCTGGACGAAGAGGTCGCGGAGGTGGTAGTGGTTCATGAGCCGCACCAGCAGACAGAAGGCCTCTTCCTCGGGCATGTTGAAGAGGATGGGCATGACGAGGAAGTTCATGCCCTGGGCGTAGCCCACGCCTTCGTCGAACAGCGCATAGGCCTTGCAGACGCCGAAGAGGCTCTCCTGAAGCCCCGCCGACGCCGCATACTTGGAGAAACTCGTGCGGGAGCCGAGGTCTCGCCGGATCGTCTTCTCCAGCTTCTGGATCATGGCGGCGTCCTCCTTTTGCCGCCTCTTCTTCTCGGCCGCGTCCGCCTGGGCCGCCTTCTGCAACGCCTCTGCGGTCTTCTCGTTGACCGCTGGTGGGGTCACGCCGTTGGCTCCCGCCGGTTCGGAATGGACCGACGATGCGGACGACGTATTCGTGTCGTTCTGTGTGCCGAGGTTGCCGTTGCTCGCCGCGCTGATGGAGGTGCCGTTGCTATTCCTGTCTCGCTCCTTTTCGGTGCCTCGTACCACGAGTTCTTTGTACATGGCCTCCAGCTCCTCGTTCTTGCTCTGTGCAAGGACTTGCCAGATGACGCCCCGGATGGCGTTGGGAATCCCGGTGGCAATGGCCCTGTTAAGCTCCTCCGGGCTGGTTCGCGCCACGGCGGCCGGGCCTTCGTACACGACGGATTGCCAGAGATCCCAGTCGACCTGGCCGCTCGCCATATCCGACGGGCCGGCGGTGACACCGGAGGCTGTTCCGGGGGCGAGGGACAGGTTAGGACTGACCGGCATAGGGCTTTTGGGAGGGGGTTCCGACGCTGCGTCGCCGTCCTCGCCCTCATGTGTCTGAGAGGTGGCTCCACCGATGGTTAGGTGGTTAGAGCGGCTGACGAGAGCAGCCACGGTGGCGCTCAGCCCCTTTTGGTCGTCCGTGGCTACGGCGGAGGGGGAAATGCCGGCTTCTTCCCGCATCCGCAGCATCTTGAACCGGTCTTTCAAGTTATTCCTCGTACCATTGACGCCATTCTCGACGGCTCCTTCTTTTTCCTCCTCTAGCCTGCTCAGCATCATATCTGGGTTGCTAGTCAGCGTGGCGATAGAGCTGGCCGTATTTCTCCGGGGCGATTGAGAGGGAGGTGGCGAGCGACTTGGCTCCTTATCCTTGCCCGTGTTATTTCGTGAGAGCCAGGAAAAGGGACTGGTGAGCCTGCGAGTGGGTGGGCCAGGAGCCGGAGCCGGAGCCGGAGCCGGAGGTGGTGGCGGTGGCTGGACTACAGAGATCACAGGGTCGGGAGACTTTGCAGGTGAAGAGGCGGCAGGGGGTGACCACGGCATGGCCGGTAGCGAGCTGGCAATGTTGCTTAGCGATATAGTTCGGGGGGCTTCTTTGGTCTCGGCGGGACTGTCTTTTGGTTCTATGCATCTTGATGTTAGACACTTCTCCCACTTGACCTCGCTCTCCCTCCGTCACTAGCGAGAGAGAGAGCGGCGCAGGAATGGGGGTTTTCAAACCAACCTGGCGGTGGCGGAGGACTGTTGTCATCGTCAAGATTGACGACATCTAGATTTGAGGTGTTTGATAAGCGCTTCGACGCGAGAGATGCCTTCTGCTGCAGCTCTTGTTCTTCAGGACTGCCACGGTCTTCCTCGTTCTTCTCGTCATTTTCGTCGATTTTGTCGTCATCCTTGCCGATGTTCTCGGGGGCGTCCCCCGTCTTAGTCGCAGCTGGATCGACAGTCGCGGCTTGAGAAGGTTGTTGCTGCGAAATAGAGGGCGTCCTTTTGGTCAGAGATCGGACTTCGGTGGTATCGACGGCATCCTCGAATGTATTCTATCGCAGATCCAATAATGACATCAGCAAAAAGGACAGCAATTTCGAGGGAGATATTTTGTAGCTTCGTTCAGAGAAGATGATGGTATTCGGAAATGCCTGATCTCACATTTTCCTTCTCGGATGTGGCAGACAGCGAGCGTCTTCTGTCCACGACATGGTCGGGGGAAGCTGGCCTTGACCTTGGCCCTGGCCCTGGCCCTGGCCCGTCTGCCTGGGACATGGCTGCACCGAAATGGATCGGCCGGGAAATCAATCTGTATCCGTCTCACTTCCAGTTGTTGATTTTGTTGTTGTCCGTAGATCCGGCCAGATCTCGCTCTTTGCCTCGAGAAGATGAGAAGCTCGGAAAGGGCTGAATACCGGAGGAGGAGGAGGAGGAGGAGGAGGAGGAAGAGGAGGAAGAAGAGGAAGATGAAGGACTGCGGCTTGTACACTGGCCTACCTATTGGTTGGCCAACCGAGCATCCAGGGAGAACAGTCGGTTCATTTGGTACCGAGGGTTGCTAGAGGCGTACGGGATATGACGATCTTCCCGAGGACGGCCTGGATGGGCGTGTTTCTTCGTTTCTTTCGTTTCTTGATTTGTAGGTTTGTAAAGTTGTAAAGTGTCGTTGAGTCGATGTTTGAGAGGTGGCTTTCCGTGGCTCGTGTTCCTGTAGGTGGCTTGGAGGAATGTTTGACACGGTAGGAGCGCTTGTGGCTTATAAGTTATGTGGACCAAACGGGAGTTGGTCTTGCTTGCAAGTTCCAAGTAAAGCATTCCAGGAGGTACCGTGAGGTATGGAATGGAGAATACCTGTATGTAAGGTACCTATCTTGCCAAAGGTAGTACCTGTACCTTACTTACACAGTGAGTAACGTACTTGGGTACGAAAGTATTATTAAGGGGTCCTACTGGAGGCCAACCGGATAAATTACCTCCTGACCCCTCCCATCTGTTATTCCTGGTATTTAGCAATTAGAGTGTTCGGCCTCCAGCTTTTTGAATTTTGAAACGACCTTCTGCAGTAGGGTCGTTCAGAAAGTGGCCAGAAATGGCTTAGTGAATGCGGCTTCAGGGGGCAGAAGGATGGGTGGGTGGGCATCCACAGTGAATGTGAATGTGAATGTTGCGTGAAAGAGTTGTGCTCTGAAAGACTATTTCAAAGACTCTTTCCAGTCTTAATAATCTGCTTGGTTATCTCGTCATCTCTTCATTCAACAGGCAACAGGCAACAGGCAACAGGCAACAGGCAACAGGCAAGACCACTGGATTCTTCGAGACCTCTTCTGGTCCCAGGCCGAGTCTTCCGAGTCATGGCTCCTTAGCGGAATGGAATGCGAGAAGAAAACATTGTTGGAATGTCATGTTCATCACCAGCATTTGTTCCTACCTGTCTCCTTTGTTCGTTGTACTTTGCTCGGAATATAAGTGAGCCTTTACACTAATCTTTCCGTTCACCCCTCACGGCTTACGCTCAAGGCTGAGCTGCCACGTTCCAACCGTCGGCGATACATATCTTCTGAGAGGAGCCAGGTCATCCGTCTTTCGCTGCCCGACTGAAGCTGTCTTGGCGGCCCAGAAACCTCCTGCAGGTAGTCTCCAGATATTTTGCCCAATTGCCAGTTTGGATAGAACAGAGAGAAAATAAAATAAATATCCCGGCGCTTTGGGTAAGGTAGTTCGATAACTTTTGACCACTAACACTGAGCCTGTAGTTTCGAGGTCATACAAGTAGGATTGTCCGTGTCTGTGTACCCCCCGATGATGGATAACGGTACGGGTGCCTAGGCCGATGTGGGAATGCTTCGACGCCGATACGACGCCGTAGTATATATCTGTTTGTTACAAGCGTCTGCAAGGCAGCAAATACCTACCTACCTACCTACCTACCTAGGTACCTAGTCAGGCCAGGTTAATCGACAGGCAGCAGGCGTAGACATATACATGACACACCTACGGTACCTTAGGCACTACGTCCATAAAGTAGCAGTTAAGTAAGGTATTACGTCTTCAGTCCATATAAGCCAAAAGAATAAGGTAAGGTAGGGCAAGGCAATAAGAGGAAAAGCAAGACAACTTAATTCAAGACAAGACGCCTCACCTAATAATTAGGTACAGGTAATTAGGTACGATATCACAAGAGAGGAAGGCACCATTTTGAGAGTGCACTTTCCCCTCTCTCTAGTGCCAGCGTATTGACGTAATAAGGTAAATACCTTAGACATACTGTACTTACAGCTGTACTTACAGTACCTTGTTACCTTACCTTACTTTAGTAAACAAACCAAGGGCAAGTACCGAGCTGCCTACGTTGTAGGTGGTGCCACTGTGCCTCTCCAAACCGAAAAATAGGTAGAGACGGGAGGTACCTTAGAGAATTACGCAAGGGTCCACAGTTCACAGTGCCCAGAAGGTACGTTGACCATGGGTCCACGCCCGCAGTTTGAGACCCCCGTCATCGCTTGCTCTACTTTTTCTTTCCCCAACACCAGTACCACTTCCTACTCCGTACCTCACCTCACCACCTCCCCACCAACCATCCAGAAACGCCTACCGCGGAAGAAGAAGAAAAAAAAAAAAAGTCGACGAAAGCTGATTTCCTTCCTTCGGGTCAAAAGTTGATGATACGAGAACTCTTCGAGGTCTCTATTCCTCTGTCTTTTGTGCATTTTCTTCACGACCATTAGATTCTTTGAGCCTGGCGGAAAAGCTATTCGAGGACGACCTGCACTCGATCTCGGAACTACAGTTTGACCCCAAGCTCTTTTTTTCTTTTTCTTTTCCCCCCGTCTCTTCTCTACCGGGGTATCCCGCACGACAGCCTTGACGATTGTCCATTCCGCACAGTCACCGACGGCCCTATCTACGGGCGCTTCATCTAACCAGTGGTAACTTAAGCTTGACCTTGGCTTTTTCACCGTCTTGCCACTTTCTATCGACGTTCCTTCCCTTTCAACCCTCCAACAAGAAACGATAAACTCATCCTCTTGCCGGCCTCCCTCGTGCTCCCCACCATCCCACCACCCCGAGAGCTGCTCCTCGACGACACCCGGCTAAGGAGTCAAAAGCGTTCGTTGTCCCTGAGAGGCTTCGTTCTTTTGGGCATCCTGGCACGCGAACCAAGCTGTCACCGGAGGAGAGTTCGCTGCGGGCGATAACCGTGGGGGAACACGCCTCTTGACCTTGCGGCTCTGCCGCCACCCGTCCTGAAGATGGGGAAGATCACCAAGACGATGCAGCCCAAGCACGAGGAGACTTTGGTATGCCCCAGTCATGCTTGAACTCCTTTCCCCCCTTCTCTTTTTGTCCTGCTCGTCGCCTCTCATCCCATGTACTAACGCGGCCACAGTCTCCTTGGCTGAGGGACTTTGTTCAGTCTGCCTCTTCGACCTCTCTTCCTCTTCTCCCTGCCCGCCTTGCCACATTCCCGACGCGATGGCCCTTCCCGAGAGGCGACCTTTACCACTGGATCCCGCTTCTCAACCGTTTCGACAATATCCTCGAAGTGTTTACCACGACCTACAACCTCACCGATGGGCCTCAGACCCGCGAGCTGGGCTGCGACGTCCTCCTCAATCGAGACTCCAAAATCGTCGACTATGGGGACCAGAAGTGGGACATGGATCTCCTGCGCAAGCACGGGTATCAGCAGGATGGTGACCGCCAGCTTGTCGAGGTTATTCTCAAGTTCACCCGTGTTCTGCTCGAGCACTGCGGCAACCGAAGCATCTACGCCAGCAGCGGTCACTTGAACGACTTGCTGAATACCACTTGCCTGCCGCTCATCATCGCTACTCTCGAGGTGGGCACCGAGCTGGCCAAGCGATACCAGGCGTCCGTCAAGCGAATCGGCAGCCACTCCCGCCATGTCAGCACCGCCCTGCTGTCGAATCACTACAACATGGACCTGGGCCGCGTGCAGCAACTAGCATCTCCCTTCGTCAAGACGCCCCTCGCATCTCTTTCCGAAGGTGGCCCGTCGTCGGGAACGCCCCGATCCGCCAAGGGCAAAGAGAAAGAGAAAGAGAAAGAGAAGGAGAAGGAGAAGGAGAAAGCACACCACGTCACTGCCCAGAAGAATGCCGCCGCCATGTTCGCAAATGACCTGACTGCCATCGCCAGCGACGACGCCAGCCGTTGGAAGGGCTGGGGGGACATCAAAGTGACCTACACCGTGACCCCCCCGCTTCGGGATCCCGCATCAGCAGCAGCCACGGTAGACCGTGCGCACTCTTCTTCCAATGCGCCTTCCACGCCAACTCCGCTTCGCCGGAGCACAACGATGGGTGGTGCCCCCACGCACCAGACTCCGAGGTCTGCTCGTCACTTCGCGAGCGAGGAGTCCCCCCCGTCTTCCATCATACGCTCTCCCGCCCTGCCAAGCGAACAACCTCTTTCCAACCAGAAGGTCTTCGACATCCCCGAGTCCGTCGTTGCGTCATCCTCCATTCATGACCTCCTTGCCCGATGTCCCGCCGATCTCCCGGCCCAGACAAGATACGATATCCTGAATAGGTTCCGAATCGCAAAGGCACTCCTCGGCGATGCAGAGTCCCGCCGGCAAGCCTTGGCTGTGCGACTCTTGGCCATCATGAATCTGGCATACATCCATCAGGAGGCAACCTTCGTGGAGAAGGTCATGCGGCCCGATATCGACGAGATTCGTCGATTCCAGCTGGTCTATCAATTGGCTGAACTGATCCACCCGTCCGCCGACGGCTCGACCCCCGTGCCTCTATGGCTGCAGTCGATCGCCTTGGGTTTGCTGGGAGCCATTTCTAACTTCCAGGCTCGCTGCCAGGACGTCTTGTCCGCCGTAAATGCCAACGTCAACCACGGCATTCTGCTCTATGTCATCAGGAAGGCAGTGGCCGGTATGAAGCCGGATGATCCACCCGACCAAGGCGACCAGACCACCGAGGAGGATACCTGGCGTAACAAGCTCTTCTCCCTCACCCAGCACTTGGCCATGTCCACTAGGGTGGGCGCCGAGATGGTCGGCGCTGGCCTCATGGACGTTCTAGTCGAGATCCTGAAGCTCCGGTCCAACGTGGCTCGCCGCAACCAGTCCACCATCCTGAGCTTTGTTGACGCCTTGATCTGGTCCTACCAGAATGCCTTCCAGGCCTTCTTCAACGGTGATGGGCTCAACGCCATCTCCGACTTGGTCGTCACCTCCGTCGAGGAAGCGAAGCAGTTGGCCGAGTCGGGCCAAGGCACCCAGCCGGAGCTCCACTCGTCCATCGTCGACTATCAGGTCCCGTTCTACCAGCAGCAGACCCTTAAGTGGCTTCTCAAGTTCATGCACCACATGATGACCAACTCGTACAGCATCGGCGGCAACACCGATCGCCTGCTGCGAAACCTCGTGGACAAGTCCGACTTGCTGGCGAGCCTCCGGGAAATGATACTGCACTCCAAGCGCTACGGCTCAGTTCTGTGGACGAATTCGGTCACCGTCTTAAGCGACTTCATCAACAACGATCCTACCAGCTACGCCGCCATTGCCGAATCGCGCATGATTGTTGCTTTCCTCGAGTCCATCACCGGCAGGCCGGTGCCCGAGCAGCCGACAGTGGCTCGCACCGACGAGGCAGCGGGCCGCGACGGCAGCGCCGCCGCCGATCCGTCACAGCAACTGGATAGCCAGGTCACCTTGGAGCCCGACACCAGGCCGCACCCGCCCCCCGAGGACGTGCTGGACTCGCAAGTAGGTCGACCGCTGGCGCAGGGCATTCTCGCGAACCCCGATGCGATCCTCACTATCCCGCACCTGTTCAACTCCATTTCGCTCAACAACGCCGGCCTGAAGATGGTCGTCTCGTCCGGAGCTTTTGAGGCCTTCTTCGAGATTTTCGAGAGCCCGAAACACGTTGCCTGCCTAGAAGGCGACCATCGCTTAGCCTCCAACGTTGGCGAAACCTTTGACGAGTTGTGCCGTCATCACCCTACCCTGAGGAATCCCATTTCGGCCGCTGTGACCGACTTGGTTGCAAGAATACGCCATCTGGGGAAGGTGGAATCCCGGACGGCCGGCTTGGGACTCAGCCTGGGTCTGAACGACGTGGCCGGGAACTTCGTGCCCGCCGATCAGGACCTGCTCGGGCGACTGTCGACCCACTCGGCCCCGTCTCCCGGCGACAAAGGCAAAGGCAAAGGCAAGGCTCCCGCTGACGACCAGGACATTGAGATGACCGATAGGCCGGCGACTGCGGATGGCCATAGCAAGAACGAGACAAAGACGACCGCCGACGTCGCGCCTGCCGCAAATAAACCCTCGGCATTCCACCCCTACATCCGCGCCCTCTGTCTATTCCTGTCCACCTATTTAAGCAACAGCTCTCTCAAATCTCTCTTTATTAACCGCGGGGGTATTGAGCAGCTCCTGGACCTTGCCGAGTCACCGAGCCTCTCCCTCTCCTTCGACGTTTCATTCAACGATGACGACGACGTTTGGCATGGACTGACCGGCGTCATCGCCCAGCTGGTCGATTACGCACCAGTGCTGGCAATCCCGTCCATCTTGACTCGCGCCCAAGCCGCCGTCGACGTGCTGAAGCCACTCGTAGACGCTCGCCGAGAGGACCGGCCTTACTTCGCCCCTTTCGTTGCGTCTGACACGACGGTCACGGCGGAGCAAGCCGCTGGCTGGGATGCCGCAACCAAGGACAAGATCATGTCGGGCAGCAAGATGGCCAAGGCCTTGATGACCCTCGAATTTTATCTTAAGATGCTATTCGACTGTGTCTCTTCGATTCCTAGGTCCAACATTGTCTCCTTCTATCCCATCAACGTCTTCGATCAGTATCTCCGTCTCGTCAAGTCCCTTGGACCCCTCCTGCAAGCGGTCTGCAACGAAGAGGACGCTATCTACGAAGCGATCCCTCCGCACTGGAGGCCGACGCCTCTTACGGCCTTGCGGGGCAAGTTGACATCAGAGCAGGCCAAGTCTATGGAGGCAAAGGATGCATTGTTCGTCGACTCGGCTCTGCCCCGAGCCGCCGCCCAGGATGACACAGGAGAAAGCAAAGACGAGGGATCGGCCGCCGAGCCGAAACGGCTTACGAAGCAGGAAGAGGCGAGTACGCGATTCAAGAATTATCAGATATTGCGCACTCTACTACACACCATGCATCCTTTTGCGTGCCCGTTCCTCCAGCAGCTGGGCAAGGCCGTCTTTCCCCGTCGGGAGCGGGACCCTTTCTCTAGACAACAACACACCGAGATTACGAAGGCCGTTGCCGCCTGTATCCTCGACCATCTGCGGACGTCTGTGGCTCAAGAGGATCCCCCCGTCAATGTGCGCCGCCAGTGGCTTCTCCAGCTTCACACGCTCGGCGAGATCATAATCGATACCCATCCACGGTCGACTGAGCGCTCTCCCATCCACATCAACACCCCGGTGTACGTCGCCTTCATTCAGCAGGGTGGATTCGACGTCCTGATGACGCTGGCGCGGCGCTGTGCAGACACGTTGCGGAACAGCGAACAGCGGGAACGCCCGGAACGGCTGGCTTCGGTTGGGCTGAAGAAGGTGCTCAATATCTTCGCCATGGTGGTCGACGGCAAATGTATGCTCGACGCAACCACGCAGTACGGTCTTCTTCCGCGCACCACCGAGAGGTCCGCCGAGCGGCGAGATCCGGCATTGATCTCCCAACAGCTCCTCCTCGAGGCGCGTATGGCTGTGTTCCCATTCGTCCGTGAGATCTGGGAGTCCCCTTTCCTCGAGAAGGAGCATCCGGATACTCTCCACAAGGTCATGGATATCCTCAAGACAATTTCCCTGGGAGACAACGAGCCGAGCCAATACCACCCCATCGTGGACGACATCTTGAAGAAGTCACCGGCCCCATTCAACTGGGTGCAGGCCCAACCAGCCATCACCAACCTTGGTGAAGAATACGATGCCGACTTGACTCGCGAAGCCGTGTACAGGGCCAATGGGAACCAGAATACTGCCTCGGAGTACTGCCGTATGCACTCGTCACATCTGGCTGGACCGCGGAATCCCGTGCCTCCGGAGGACGCGTACACCCAACCCTCAGCGCCGGCCCATCCAGCGACTGAACCTATGGCCATAGATGACGCGCCGCCCCCCGAACTAGACAACGTACTGGGTGAGTCGATGCTGGCCGAATTGGAAGACCACTCCTCCCGAGCGTCGGATGACGAGGAGGACGAAGATGAAGACGATGACGACGAAGACGACGACGGCGACGGGGACGGCGACGGGGACGGTGCTCATCGTGGCGCCTCTGTCGGCGATGGCAGCGCTCAGAACACTACAGACCTTCGTACCGTTACCAAGCAAGAGCTGGATAGTCAGAGGGAAGCGCTACGGAAGGATCTCATCTCTCGATCCTTGGATATTATCCGAGCTCATCCGGCGTCTGCTTTCGAGGTTGCCGAGCTGATCCGCACAGTGGTGTTCTACCGCCCTAACGCCGAGATCCGGGAGGAAGTTGGCGTGACGCTGGCCAGCGCGATCACTTCCATGGCCTCCGACAGTGGGCAGGTCGCGTCAGAAGCCGATGGACGTACCGTCGCTGCGTACGCCCACTTGTTCGCCCTGCTTTTGCTCGACAGCGCTTTCATGAAGGCCAATCTGGACACGCTCCGAAGCAATGTGGACGCGTACATCGGCTTCCTCAAGGTATCGCCGGCCAACTCCAAGGAGGAGCTGCCGCCGTGGATTCCCTACGTCTTGCTCATTGTCGAAATGCTCCTGTCCCAGGACGAGAAGCCGATCGAGGCGTCGTGGAAGCCGCCCGCGAGTGAGAATGAGGAGGTTCAGCCTGCCGTTTTCCCGCCACAAGATGCTATTGTTTCGAGCGACCAGCAAAGCGACATGCTCGACAGCATACTTGATTTACTGCCTCGGCTCGGCAAAAACGATGTTTTGGCGACCTCTATCCTCCGGATTCTCGTCATCATGACACGGAAACGGGCTCTCGCGCGTAGAGTGGGGGACAAGAAAAACCTGCAGCGACTTTTCGTGATGGCCAAGCAGCTTGCCGGGGGCAGTTCAAACCCACTGAAAGATCCGAAGACGTCCGGCTGCATCATGAACATCCTCAGGCATGTCGTCGAGGACGAAGAGACGATCAAGCAGGTTATGCGGGCTGAAATCCGCAATCTGTTTGAGAACCCGCAGCGAAGCCAGCGCAACCTGGACCTCCACACCTATCTGCGCAACCTCGCGCCGGTCGCGCTTCGTGCACCCGACCTCTTCGTCGAAGTCACCAACGAGATGACGAAGCTGACCCGCTGGACGCCGGCCAACGAAGGTAGCAGCCGTCCTCACCAGCTGGCCTTGAAAGAGGAGGCGAGCTCGACCGCCGAGACGGCACAAAGTAAAGAAGAGGGTGTTGAGCCGGCCGTCCAGGCTACCGAGGACCTGTCTCTCCACGACATCAAGCCGTCGACCGAGACTGGCGACAAGGACATGACGGACGCTCCGAAGCCCGCCATCCAGAGGCCGATCGTAGAGAACCCGGATGGCGTCGTTCACTTCCTCTTGTGCGAGCTACTGAACTACCGCGAAGTTGATGATAAGGAAGCGACACTGCCCAAGAGCTCGAAGGACAGCAAGGCGGAGGCGACTGCTTCGGCCTCCGCGTCGTCCTCATCCCAAGAAAAGCCGGCCGAGACCCAGGCATCGGACAACACGGACGGGAAAGAGAAGAAGTCGTCCAAGGTGACGTTCAAGGCGGAAGAACACCCAATCTTCATCTACAGGTGTTTCCTCCTCAACTGCCTGTCGGAACTCCTCCAGAGCTACAACCGAGCCAAGGTCGAGTTTATCAACTTTAAGCGAAGCGCTCCCTTGCAAACAAACACTCCCGTCAAGCCCCGGTCTAGCGTACTGAACTACCTCATCCATGACCTCCTCTGCCAAAGCGGCCATCCCGACGGCACCGACAACGTTCTGTCGAAGAAGAAGGCCGCCACTTCGAGCCAGGCGCAACAAGTACTGGTAGCGTTAGTGACCAAGACGGCCGAGAAAGTCATCGACAAGCGGCGCGAGCGTTTCGAATACGATGACGACCCCGATCTTCTTTTCGTCAGAAAGTTCGTGTTGGACACCATTCTCAAGGCTTACGAACGAGCTTCCACCCCGGACGAGCCGCTCGAGACGCGACATGCGAAGATGCAGGGCCTCGCCGAGCTGATGAACCACATCATCGGCGAAAAAGATCGGGACCCGCCCACCTCGGTAAGGGGTATGGACTCTCCTCAGGTGCGCTCGCAAGCTCAGCTCCGACGCATGATGTACGAGAAGGGCTACCTCGACAAGCTCACCTCGTCTATTGCGGACTTGGATCTCAACCATGCCGGTGTCAAGCGATCCCTCAAATCAGTGCTCCGCGTCCTCCGCATCCTCACCGGCACGGCTAAGGAGCTGAGCCGGTCCAGTGTCATGCCCTCCACTGCTCTCCCAGATGCTGCTGATGACGAGATCATGTCGTCCTCCTCCGTGTCTGACGTTGATGATGACCGGGAGGAGACCCCTGATCTCTACCGCAATTCAGCCCTGGGAATGCTGGAGCCTCGCGGGAGTGACGACGAGTCAGACGAGGAAGGTGAGTTTTTTTTTTGGTCTTCAGAGGCTACACTGCGATTCTGACGGACACCCCCTTCTTGGCGAAGTACTAAAGCTAACAAATCCATCTCATAGATGACGACGAGGAGATGTATGACGACGAATATGGCGACGAGCTTGATTACGGCGACGAAGAAATTTCCGAGGACGATGAGAACCGCCTTAGTGATGACGATGAAGAGCTCGGGGAGATGGGCGAGATTGAGGGCCTCCGCGGCGAGCCCGGGGTTGTCGAAGTCGTCATGGATGACGATGACGATGAGGATATGGACGACGACGAGGACTTGAGCGACGACGATGATGACGAACTCGGGTCCGAAGATATGGAGGACCTAGAAGACCACGTCGAGGTGGTTGAAGAGATCGTTGACCATGACGGCAACCCCATGGAAGACGACGGTGATTCCGACTGGGAGAGCGAAACGGACGAAGACGACAACGAGGACGAGGAAGATATCGACTACGGGGGAGAAGAGCAAGACTTTGAAGAGGCACACATGCATGGCATGGAAGAAATGGAACCCGGCGACATTATCGGCAGCCTCGCCCGTGCCGTCATGGATCCGGAGGACGACTTTGCCGAGCCGGAAGGGATGGATGAACTCGACGGCCATTATCTCGACGATGGGCGTCCTGATGACGAGGATGATGACGGTGAGTTATGCGTTGTCTTTACACCCCTTGGCTTACCTTTTTTTATTATTATTTTTCGTTTTTATTTCTTTCCCCTTTCTTTCGGTTCTGACATGATCATGCAGAGGAAGATGATGATGACATGGAGGACGAATATATCTACGACGAGGACTATCCCCGTAAGTTTTCCACCCCTGGGCAGTATTATCTACGCCACGACGCTCCCCCCCCCCCGGCGCCATCACTCACGAGACCGCAGACGATGTAGCCATCCCCGTCAACGTCCCCGGACACCTCGGTTGGGATACTCTCGTTGTTGAACCTTTCCCTCCTCATGGCCATCACCGACATCGCCATGGTCAACGGAGCCCCTTCCAGCCAGGATTCATACCTGGCGGTCCTCGCGACCCTCTCGGAGGCAGGTCCCCTGCAAGCATTTTCCGGGCTCTTCTTAATGTCATCGACCCTACATCCGGCCTCGATGCTAACGATGCTTCAGACTTCCGCAGCTATCTCTCTCGGCGGCCACGGCCTAGCGGTCCGCAGAATGCTGCCGACGATGGCGTCAACCCGCTGTTGCGACGCGGTGACCAGAATCCGGACCTTGCGTCTCGCCCTGGAGCCGGAGGTCTTAATTTCGTTGGGCTCACCTGGCCGCCAGAGATGTTGATGCCGGGCGTGGGAGGAGGACGAGCGGGAGGGTTCTTTGACAGCCCCATTGCCCTCCTGAACGATATTGTCGCGTCCCTCCCCGTCATGCGATCAGGCCCTCCCGTCCGGCTCCAAGTCACCCAACCCGGTGGTCGCGGCGAAGTCCGAGAGTACCATTTCGGACCCCGTGAAATGCGACCCGACAGCCGCCGGGACGGGATTTATCAGGAACCGCAGCAGGCAGTCGCCTTCAACATTGTGTCCACCTTCGAGCGATACCAGGAAGAAGCGAGGATGGTCTTCGGCGGTCCCCAGTGCGTCGAGATGGTGCAGAAGCTTGTCAACCTCATCCTCTCTGAACTCGTCCCACCGGCTATGGAACAGGAGAAGAAACTCAAGGCCGAAGAGGAAGAGCGACGACGCGTTCGCGAAGAAGAACGGAAGAAACGCGAAGAGGAGGAGCGTCGGGCGAGGGAAGCCAAGGAAGCCGAAGAACGGGCTGAACGAGAAAAGAAGGAAGCCGAGGAGCGGGCAGAACGCGAACGTGCTGCTGCGGCTGCAGCACCACCGGCTCAAAGCGACACGCGCGAAGGAGGCGAAGGGTCTCAAGCCATGGAGGGAGTGGAAACACACGGCCCTGCCGAGACATCAACCACCGAAGCACGACCTGCGGATGTGCCTCGCGTTGTTACCACCTTGCGGGGCGAGGAGGTCGACATCACCGAGCTTGGCATTGATCCTGAATATCTTGCCGCGCTCCCCGACGAGTTCAGAGAAGAGGTCATTGCGCAGACGGTTAGCTCCCGCCGCTCCCAGGCGCGCGAGGAGGCTGCGGCCGGCGAACAGCCTGCCGTCTTCCAGGAATTCCTCGATGCACTGCCAGAGGACATCCGCACGGAGATTGTGCAGCAGGAACGTCAAGAGATCCGTCGCCGCGAGCGGGAGGAGCAACGCCGTCAAGCTGCAGGAGGCGGGCACGAAGCCATCGCCGCCGACATGGACGCTGCCAGCATCCTGCTCACGTTCCCGCCCGAACTTCGCCATCAGGTTCTCCTAGAACAGGGAGAGGAATTTATGGACCAGCTGCCTCCCGACATGGCGGCCCAGGTTCGCGTTGCGCCTCGTCTGGGCGGTGCTAGAAGCCCACCATCCGGCGGTGCGCCCAGACCCGGCCAGCAGGAAGGTGCAGCGGGCCAGCCGCAAGCAGCCAAGGTGCAGCGCAAGACGGTGGTGCAGATGCTAGACAAGGCCGGCATCGCGACCCTTTTAAGGCTCATGTTCATCACGCAGTACGGGTCGATCCGAAATTATCTATTCAGTGTCCTGTCGGATGTTTGCGAGAATCGGCAGAACAGGATCGAGGTCGTCAGCACCGTCCTCTCGATCCTCCAAGAAGGAAGCACAGACATGGACGCGGTGGAGCGCAGCTTCAGCCAGCTGTCTCTCAAGGCGAAGAAACCGAAGGAGAAGGATGCCGACCCGAAGACGCTGCAGAATCTTAAGCGCACTCTGACGTCGCTGAGCTCGGTCTCCAATTCCCAAACCAACTCGGAAATTTCGCCGCTCTTGGTCGTGCACCAGTGCCTCGACCTCCTGCAGGAGTTGTCGACGAAGAACCCCCATATTCCCATGCTCTTCCTCACCGAGCACGAGAGCGTCGGGTCGTCGCTGAAGCGGTCGCTCAGCCGCAAGGGCAAGTCGAAGGACTCCAAGGCGCAGAAGTATGCCATCAACTCGCTTCTCTCGCTCCTGGATCGCGATCTGGTCATGGAAAGCTCGGTGGTCATGGCGTACCTGGCTGATCTCCTCAACAAAATCACGGCTCCCCTGGCTGCCATGGAGCGCCGCCGTCGGGAAGCCGCCGAGAAGGAGAAGGCGGCAGCGGCAGCGGCAACGGCAGAGGAGAAGGGGACGGAGGAGGCTCCCGCTGCGGAGGGTGCGAGTGCCCCTACTGCCGGCTCGACGAGCGCCACCTGTGCCCAGGCCGCTGGGCCATCGTCCTCTGGTGGCGCCACCACCGACGCGCCTCCCACGTCCGCAGAGGCCCAGCAGGGCGGTGATGGTGAGCGCAACAAGGACGGACCCGAAAGCTCCCCGGTCGCCGAAACGAAAGACTCGAGCCAGAAAAAGGACCGGCAGATGCAGGTGCCGGTGATCCCGGCGCACAACCTCACATTGGTGGTCAAGATCTTCGTTGCACGCGAGTGCAGCTCCAAGACGTTCCAGAACACCATCTCGGCGATCAAGAACCTCTCGGCGATTCCCGGAGCCAAGAGCATCTTCGGGCAAGAACTGGTTCGGCAGGCTAGGTTGCTCAGCGAGAACATCGTGTCCGACCTCGACGATCTCTTGCCGCACATCCTGAAGGCCACGTCGGGCACGGAGATCCAGGGAGTGGCGTTGTCCAAGTTCTCACCTGGAGCGTCGGAACAGAACAAGCTCCTCCGGGTGTTGACGGCGCTTGACCACCTCTTCGACAGCAGGAAGAGGAGCGACACGGCGGGCGACGAGGAAGCGGCAAACAGCGAGAAGCAGGACCTGGTCCACTCGCTCTACCACAACTCGACGTTCTCCAAGATGTGGGAGAAGCTGAGCGCGTGCCTGGGCGCGATCCGCCAACGCGAAAACATGGTCAACGTGGCGACGATTCTGTTGCCGCTCATCGAGTCTTTGATGGTGGTTTGCAAGAACACGGCGTCGACGGAGAAGGCGGCGGCGGATAAGGAGAAGGAGAAGGTCCTCTCCAGCCCGCCGCCAGAGTCCCGCATGGCGGGTCTGTTCTTCAACTTCACGGAAGAGCACCGGCGGATCCTCAACGAACTGGTGCGGAACAACCCGAAGCTCATGTCGGGGACGTTCGCTCTTCTGGTCAAGAACCCGAAGGTGCTGGAATTCGACAACAAGCGCAACTTCTTCAACCGCAGCGTGCACAGCCGGACGGGAGCGCAGCGGCCCTCGTTCCCGTCGCTGCAGCTGGCGGTGCGTCGCGAGCACGTGTTCCACGACTCGTTCCGGTCTCTGTATTTCAAGTCGGGCGAGGAGATGAAGTACGGCAAGCTGAACATCCGATTCCACGGCGAGGAGGGAGTCGACGCGGGCGGGGTGACGCGCGAGTGGTTCCAGGTGCTGGCGCGGCAGATGTTCGATGCCAACTACGCGCTCTTCATCCCCGTGTCGTCGGACCGGACGACGTTCCACCCGAACAAGCTGAGCGGGATCAACGACATGCACCTCATGTACTTCAAGTTCGTGGGGCGCATCATCGGCAAGGCGCTGTACGAGGGCCGGCTCCTCGACTGCTACTTCAGCCGGGCGGTGTACAAGCGCATCCTGGGCAAGTCGGTGTCGGTCAAGGACATGGAGTCGTTCGATCCGGACTACTACAAGTCGCTGGTGTGGATGCTGGAGAACGACATTACGGACATCATCACGGAGACGTTCTCGGTGGAGGACGACGAGTTTGGGGTGACGAATACGATCGACCTCTGCCCGGATGGGCGCAACATTCCCGTCACGGAGGAGAACAAGCACGAATACGTCCGGCTGGTGGTGGAGCACAAGCTCTTGTCGTCGGTCAAGGAACAGATGGAGCACTTTTTGAAGGGTGAGTCGGGAATCCCGGTGTTTCCCAAAGACGGGATCGATTCTGTGATGAGATCAATGCTAATGCAGGTGGTTTCTGTAGGTTTCCACGAGATCATCCCTGCGGAGCTCATCTCCATCTTCAACGAGCAGGAACTCGAGCTCCTGATTTCTGGACTCCCCGATATCGACGTTGACGACTGGAAGAGCAACACCGAGTACCAGAACTACACTCCTTCGTCGCCCCAAATCCAGTGGTTCTGGCGAGCTGTCCGATCCTTTGATAAGGAAGAGCGGGCGAAGCTGCTCCAGTTCGTGACGGGAACCAGCAAGGTGCCTTTGAACGGATTCAAGGAGCTCGAGGGCATGAACGGAATTAACCGGTTCAATATCCATCGGGACTATGGCAACAAGGACCGTCTGCCGAGCTCTCACACATGCTTTAACCGTATGTCTTTACTCCTGCCCTGCCCTGCCCTGCCCTTCCTTCTCTTTGGGCAGCGCAAGTTGCTAACCAAGCTACAGAACTCGATCTTCCCGAATACGAGAGCTACGAAATCCTCCGCAGTCAGGTGTTCAAGGCTATCACGGCCGGCAGCGATTACTTTGGTTTCGCATAGGCCAGGTTTTAGGAGCGTCAGGAAGATGGAGAGGGGCAAAGACTGGGTTCTCAAGGTCGGAGCGACATATCACGAACAGGATTCTTCCACCCCTAGGTGTATTTTTTGGAAGGGGTTTGCTTCTGGTGAGGTGGGAGTCTGCTTTTTCTTCCTATTCTTTTTGCTGTGCTCTTTTCTATTTTTATTTTTATTTTTTTGTTACTTGCCTGTCAGCAGCCTCCCCTGGCTGGGTTCTTCTCGTGGCAGGACTCTGGATTGCGGCGGAGTGCAGGCCGTCTGCGGTTTCAGTCTGCTTCGAGATGGCAGTGCGTTGATGAGAGAGGGGAGGACAGAATCAGGTATGGGCTGTGTAGAGTAGGGTATTAGTTACCCAGTGGGCACAGAAGAATGCAGAGTTTTGAGCTGAGTTGCATCCCTTTTCTCTCGAGACTCTCACGTCTGTTGTGTTGGTGCTATGTAAGTCAGACTTGACGGAGTCTAGAGCCGGAGCAGCCTCTAGTTATGTCCGCTCCATGCGAGAGGCAACAGCAACAAGAAGCGAAGCCTGCCCGGCTAGCTCAATCGGTAGAGCGTGAGACTCTTACTGTAAGAGACCACTATCTCAAGGTTGTGGGTTCGACCCCCACGTCGGGCTCAATTCCTGACGCGATTCTAAACCGCCTCTTTTTTTTTTTTGTTTTTTTTTTTTTCTCTTGTTGCTCGTTGCTCTTGTTGATTTATCAGACAGGAGAGACATCCACGCGTTAAAGAATACCATCATCACGACTGTCTATGCAAGAGACTGGAACCAAGCTTGAGTACTCCAGTCAGAGACCAGCTCTTATTAAATATAATTCTATTCTACTTAGTGGTACGACCGTAGACGCCTACAAACCAGTCCGGCACATTCTTCCATCCGCAGCCACCTCCCACTCTTCGCTGCCGACACCCTTGAACGCGTAAAAGCGCGACTCCGGATCCCACTTCTTCTTCACCTCGAGCAACCTCTCATAGTTGGCCCCGAAGAAGGCCTCCTGCCAGTCGGGCTGTCTAAAGTCCGCCTCGTTCATGTAGGCGCCACTGCCCGGGGTCACGGCCTCGACCAGCGGCATGAACTCCTCCGTCATGCGGTGCTGCGCCGCGACCATGTCCTCCCACGGAGCCGCGGGGTCCCAGTACGTGATGAGCTGCATCTGGATGAGGGTATCGCGCCAGGCCGGGTGGACCGCGTTGGCGGGGACGCCGTCGGGCCTGGAGTAGTTGGCGACCGAGCCGACCGCCAGCACGCCGTTGGACGTCAGGTGGGAGACGACGGCCTGGAGCGCGGCGGCGTTCTCCTTCTCCTCGACGGCGGCCCGCGGGATCAGCCGCCCGCCGAACTGGTAGCGCTGCACCTCGACGCCGCCCTGCGGCAGGGGACCCAGGTGCTGGTCGTAGTGGTCCCGGTAGGACGACTCGGTGTACAGGATCGGGAGCTGGACGCCCATGTCGGCCAGGGCGGCGGCGAAGGGCGCCAGCACGACGTCGCGCACGTAGGCGGCGGTCGCGTTCCACACGGTGAGGGGCTTCAGGACGAGCATCTGGTCGGTGTTGTAGAAGACGAGCATGGCGCCGTGGTCGACCATGTGCGGCAGCAGGGCGTAGAACTGGGCCACGGCGGCGTCGAATTGGTCCCGGCCGACGAGCGGCGCCAGGAGCTGGAAGGCTGCGCCGCCGACGTTCTCGGCGGCCGGGTGGGCGCGGACGGCCATGCCGACGACGACGCCGAATGTGCCGCCGCCGCCGCCGCTGAGGGCCCAGTAGAGGTCTTGGTTTTCCGAGGGGGAGGCGGTGACGGTGCGGCCGTTGGCGGTGACGACGTGGAAGGCGAGGGTCTGGTCGGCGGCTAGGCCGAAGGCGGTGCTGAGGGGCGAGTGGCCGCCGCCCTGGGTGAAGCCGCCGGCGAGGCCGACGGTGGCGCACTCGCCCGTCACCACGGAGAGGCCTTGGGCGTGGGCGGCTTCGAGGATCTCGTAGCCTAGGACGCCGGCGCCGACGTAGGCGGCTGGGCCGGCGTAGTGGTCGTCGGACCAGTCGGTGAACTGGATGGATTTGAGGGATTGGGTCCAGATGGCGAGGGCACCGGCGCCGGTGGAACGACCGAGGAAGCTGGGGGGTTAATATATGTGTGTGTGAGAGAGAGAGAGAGAGAGAGGGAGAGAGAGAAGAATAGACCTACTCGTGACCGGTGTTGCGTACGACAACACGGAGGTTGTTCTCCTTGGCGAATCTCAAGGCGGCGGCGACGTCCGAGTTGCAGTTCACGCGGACGGCGTAGCTGACGTAGTTACCCAGGGTGCAGGGCTTGGAACGGTCAGTGAACGGGTCGCAGCTCTGGTTGGCAAAGTAGGTTTGCATGATAGAGGAGGACGACGGGATGCTAAGGAGATTGACGTTAGAATGGTCATCCATCGTAGTCTCATCGGCCTGGTGAAGTCAGGTCAGGTCAGGTCAGCATGAGGGATCGTACTGGGTCAGAGGATTCGTCCATTCGGCACGCAACGCCTCGCAGGCCGCCGCATCGTACGTGGGATCGTGACAGGGCGAGCCGATGGGTTCGGTGGCGACGAGGCCGCCGTGGACGGTGGCGTTGAAGTGCTGCCATGCGTGTTCGGAGGGCCAGCACGGCTCGCCGGGCATGCAGTAGCAGGAGGCGGCGGCGGGTGAGGTTCTGGTGGCAGCCGCAACCGCAGCCGCAGTCGCCGTAGCAGCCAAGAAGCTGGCCTGAAGGGTCGCTTTCAGAAGCTTCATGTTCATATTGGAGGCGCCAAAGGAGAAGGGCGACAGATCATAGAACGACGGTTGACCTTCACCTACCTCCTGCTTCGGCGGGAGGGAAACAGGGAGATGGGGTCAGCGAGACAGAGTGGACGGGCCAAGCAGGGACTAAGTGAACGGATTCCTTGGGGGGGCAATTCGGCACCGAGATTGTGATTTTATTTATTCTTCCGTCCTGCATCTATTTATTGAGTGCCGATTTATTGATGGGTCACACGGAAATGTCCCCCTCATAGGGTATGGTGTTGCACTGCTGTTATTGTCACCGTCAGACAGTTGCACCAACGGGCCAACGGCCCCAACAGGGGTGCCGACGCGGATGGCTGTTAGTAGTTACTATGTTGGCCCCAGGACCTAGGTCGCCTTGGGACAATGTTCCGTCCGCCCAGAAGATGGAACGCGCAACGCTCCACATGGAAGATTCCGAAAAGGCAGCCGAGAAAGATGGGAACCCCTTACAACGTATTAGTCCGGACAGAGTATACGGGTAGACTAGAACCTAGGTGACTGATTATGAGGCGAACTGTCAAAGACGGAAGACGGAAGACCTCGACCGTCGGCTGTTCGCTTCTGAAGTTCTGGACGCTATTGATGTTTTTCCTGCGCCGACAGACTTTTATGAAAATGTACGGACAAACTTGGCAAAGTAATGGATGCACTGTTAAGGAGTTGGAAGCTAGAGCCGATTTGTGTAGGACAGTAGACTGTAGGACCGTCCGACCGCGTCTAGCAGACTCTAGCAGTCTAGCCGGGCTAGATCTCTCTGCATGAACAAGATGCCAAGATGCCAATGGTTCATATGAAAAGTCCGAGCTCTATTTAACCTAAATCAACTCAATCTCCGACAGTGATGCCCCTGGCCCTATCTGCCAGGAACCGGAGACATGTCCCTAAACGGCAAGCCAAGGCCGTTTTATTCCGACCCAAACCCCAAGTGTCGGGTCACCGATACCTCTTCCGGATCGGTACAGCTGAAGGCGCCAGCTCAACATGGCCTAGATGGTGATGATGATCGATGATCATGATAGCAATGGGTATTAAGTACGATTTGTATCTGTTTATTATCTGTCTTGAAATTTCTCTCCTAATTCCCTTCCACCGAGTGTCACTGTCTAAGACTCTAAGGTACTGGTACCTAGTCTATGTCCCCCGCCCGCGGCCCACCGACCGGCCGGCAACAGGACGGCACATCCCACGTGGCGCACGTGGTAGTTTATGACCTAGACTCCGCGTCCGGTCCTTTTCTAATGAATCGTTTCTTCTTTTCCTATTTCCCCCTTATTTTACTCTTACGTATGGGGGCCAGGGCATGCGACCTGTCAGATTACTTTTATGCTGGCCTTGTCCGTCCTTGTCCCCCTCGATCGATCCCACTTGTTCCCCTCGTTCCCCGGAATCCCCCTGACGAGCTCCCGGAGCCATGGTTCGCCTCTCTGCACATCGCCTGCTTGCCGTGGTCATACAGCTCGCAGTTTGGACCTTGGTCCAGGCACAGGAGACGGATCCTTTGGCGAGTCTGATGGTATTTCCCGAGTGTGCTGTGAGTGAAGCTTCTTTAGTCATTACTCCTGAGTCCTCCCTCTGCTCGATCCAAGCAACTGACATGGAGACGCCGGTTTTGTCTTGTAGAGGCCATGTATCGCCACCGCTTTTATGGGAGGACTCTGCGCTCCCACAGACCAGGCATGCATCTGTGGAGATGAGCAGTTCCAGCAGAATGTCACGCTCTGCGTGAGTGAGAGCTGCATAATACCCGATATGTTAGGTGCGTTGCGTTGCGTTGCGTTGCGTGCGTTGCGTTGCGTTGCGTGCGTTGCGTTGCGTTGCGTGCGTTGCGTTGCGTTGCGTTGCGTTGCGTGCGTTGCGTTGCGTTGCATTACGCTGCATTACGCTGCATTACGCTGCTCTGCTCTCAACTCGAATCTCCCCCCTTCAACTCGAAAACCCCACGACGCTAACAACGCTACCATCACACAGCCACCCGGAACACCAGCCTGACCAACTGCAACGTCCCCGTCCGCGACCGATCGGGAGACTACGTCGTCATCTCCAACGCCATGGCCGTCACGGCCGCCATCTTCCTGGTGATCCGCTTCGTCTACAAGATCTTCATGGCCCACGTCGAGCTGGGCATGGACGACTGGATCATCCTCGCCGCCGCCATCTCCATGATCCCCAGCGCCGTCATCACCGTGCACGGGTCGGCCGCCAACGGGCTCGGCCGCGACATCTGGACCCTGGAGCCCGAGCAGATCACCAAGGTGCTGATGTACTTTTACTGCATGGCTTTCCTGTACTTCGCCCAGGTCGCCCTGGTGAAGCTGTCCATCATCTCGTTCTTCATGCGCATCTTCCCGGCCCGGGAGACGCAGCGCCTGCTTTGGGGCACCTTCATCTTCACCACCGTGTACGGCGCCGCCTTTGTGCTCACCGCCATTTTCCAGTGCTGGCCGGTGCACTACTTTTGGACCAAGTGGGACGGGCTCCACGAGGGGTCCTGCGCGAGTGCGAATGCCATTAGCTGGTCCAACGCCGCCATCAACATCGCGCTGGACCTCTGGATGTTGGCCGTGCCGCTGTGGCAGGTGCGCAGCTTGCAGCTGCACTGGAAGAAGAAGATTGGCGTGGCCTTGATGTTTGTCGTGGGTACATTGTGAGTAACTGTCCCCTCTCCGGTTCACCCACCCATCTATCCGAGGCGGATATATCACATGGTTGATTTGTGGATGTTCGCTTGTTCGCTTGTACGTTGTCACTGACAATGTCTCCAGCGTCACCGTCGTCAGCGCCCTCCGCCTCCAGTCCCTCGTCATCTTCGGCGCATCCAGCAACGCCACCTGGGAATTCTACTCCGTCTCCGTGTGGTCCACCATCGAAATCACCGTCGGCATCATGTGCGCCTGCCTGCCCTCCATCCGCCTGGTCCTCGTCCGCCTCTTCCCCGCGCTCCGCGGCACGACGATGCGCAGCATGGGCCAGTACTACCGCGGCTACGGGAGCAACACGAACGGGACCAACCGCGACCGGAGCGGCGCGGCCGAGACCCCGCGGCGGAACGGGACCATGACGGGGGTTTCCGCGGTCCGGTCGCAGAGGAGGGGGTCGGAGGACGAGGAGGGGGGTACGACGACGCCGCCGGGGGGGATTGTGTTCCAGAAGTCGTATACCGTGCAGTATAGCGATAACGACGAGGCGAGTTTGGTGAGGATGGACGATCTGGATTCGGGTGGGAAGAGTAGGGGGTTTGCCTAGCCGAGGAGGGAGGGAATGTGAGTATGTGAATAGTTGAGACTCTCATGTGAAGAGAGAGAAGCCGGACTGACTGACGTCTTGCCCTGGCACTACCCCTGTCCGAAGACCGTCCTCGGGCCGCCGAGTTTAGAAACCCCGTGACGCGTCACGCACCCGCACCGAAGCACATTACGTAATCAATCGCTTGCCACTGACTTCCGCAATCGTGATTACTCATACTCAGTCACGCCCTGATGTGCCTCCCAGTACCGTACCGTATGTCTACCACGTTCCCAACCTCTCCATCAACTTCTGAACGCCACCATGGTCCCCTCTCACCAGGCTCAACTGGCCAGCGTCGCCGCAGTCAAAGAGGAACTGGCCCGTACAATCCTCCTCGACATCTGCACACAAGACACCATATCGCTGACGCGCGCCTACGAAGCCCTCATCCTGAGGGAAAGCCAAGGCATCAAGCCCGAAACCCCGATGGAGTGGAAAGTCTGCACAAATTGCAGCAAAATATTCCACGACGACTATAATACAGACACAGCCTGCCACTATCATATGGGTGAGTTTTTCTCAGTGCTGTCACCCCCCCCCCCCCGCGCTGACGCGCCCTGGACGAAAAGACCCGAATTGCTCACAGCTCGTCGCCCTGGGTTGTAGGGGAAATGGAACCCGATGATGACTTTGATGTCTGGGCTGATACGGACGAGAGAATACACGGCCCCATTGCCTCCGAGGAAAACAAGGAGGAGTTCCCCGAGGGCTTCATTTGGGATTGTTGCGACAAACTCGGCACCGATCCGGGATGCCAGACCTCGCGTCACGAGTCCCCCGAGGAGACGCTGGCGAAGGAGGCTGAGGAGAGTCGGCCCACTTCAGCTTCCCGTACCGGAACCGGCGCGGCGGAGGTGGCGTCCCTCGAGGTTGGAAGTGACGCCCAGCCCGTGAAGAGGCAAAGGACCGAGTAGTCCTTTTGTGTGGGTAAGACATTGTGATGAGAGCAGTCTGGACAGAGACAACAGAGACATGGCATACCGAAAGGAGGCCGACAGACGACAGACCCCCACGTAAAGTGCAGCGATGCCAATATTAATGATACAGGGAATACAGACAGTCTGACCATCCTAGAATCAGCCGAGGTCGTCGCTTACAAGTTATACCCCCGCATGCCACGCAAGATACAAGTCGCCGTTCTTTGTCTCGCCGTCATCTCATCCCTCTGCTATTTTCTACAAACAGGCCAGACGGCTGACCCTTTACCCTTCGCTAGGCGGAAGAAATCCGTCGGGTGCGCCCAGGACAATGTCGCCGAGGAAGTCTCCGAGGAGAAGAGCATGGAGTAAGCAGCCATGTAAGAAGAGATATCACTCGGCAAACTCAAACCATACATGGATGATACTTACAATCCAGAGAACATGGACGATGCAATTAGGTCTTATGCGGGCAGCAGGCTGCTTGCTCATGCTGCGTCAGCTTGAAAGACTCATCTACAACGACTCGTCGACTCCGCCTCGGGAACGTTTTCACATGAAGAACAAAACAGTCGCCGTTTCCGAGGCGGACGTTGAAACTGAGCAATGTGCCGGAAACAGGAAACGGGCGAGTACTGGGACAGAGTACGAGTACGCCGAACGCCGGGCAGATCTACTGGGGATATATATGTATATATATATCCTGTCCTTGGCGGAATGGGGCCCGACACTCACACGGTGCATCCCGGAGCTTGTTGGTAGACCACCATAGAGCAACCATGATGATTTACTGACGCCAGGGGTTGTGTTGACCCTGAAGTACTGAGCCCTGGCTGTCCCTCCGGTAGATCTATACAATACAGAACATCAGCACGGAGTGATCGGAGTAAAGAAAGCTGAGCTCAGACTAGGCATGATGCAATACTCCGTTACCCACGTCTTCGCATGTCAACACTCAAACACCGCTTAGTGAGCTTAGACTTGAAGGAATCTGGCCAAGATAAAGCTGATGAAGCAGTCGGAGACCTCCGAGTAAAGGATATTCTGACCTACTGCGGGCCTAGTAACAGTTCTACTCAAGCCACCTCTGATGACATATAAGACGCCAGTTCTTTACCAACGCCACTTCGGAAGACTAGTCGCCCTTATGCTCTCACTTTCTTCTGCATACGACTTGGGATGCCCGGACTGTTAGGGCTGACGGGGTGCTAGTCGAAGCAAAGAGCCCGACCTACCTCCGAATGCTCCGTGAATGATGGCCGTTCTAGCCTTGCCCAACGAGATGATTTGCCCACTACAAAAAAGGACAAAAGGCAATCCGTTTTCTTATGGCCGGATCAGGATTATATCATACATGCTACCCGCGGCTCCTCCTCCTCTGCGTGGTTTCCCCAGCAAGGCAGCACTTCGAGTGCTATTCCGGCCGTATAACTCTGGCATTTGCCCACACCCCTTTCTCATTCTTTGCTGAGACTACACTGGATGGGCTCGGAGTCTTTATTTAAAGAGACTGACCTCCTGCTCGGATACATTCCATTCGCGTCTGATCGTTCGTATTCTTTTTTTGCAAAACCATTCGTAACACCGGGACGTCACACGTGGAAAAGCACAATTCTGTCTTTTCCAGTTCGCAATGAAGAGCACACCGGTTCTGCTGGCCGCCTTCGTGGGCCTGGCTACTGCCCTTCAACTGGAAACAGTCCACAGGCGGCAGTCTCCTGACCCTGCTGTCCAACAGCCTGGCCTTGAGCAAGCTCCCGCCCCGGAACAACAGCCGGCTCCCCAGCAGCAACCGGGCCCAGTCCCTCCCCAGCCACCTGTTCCTCCCCAGCCTATCAACGTCCCTGGCCATCCTCCTCATCCGCCCCTCCCTCAACACCCCCCCCTTCCTGGAGTCGGACATCCTGAAGATCCTTGGAGTGGTCAGAACCCCGGCGATTCTCAAGAGGATTCGAGTCCCCAGGATGCTTGGAACCCTGAAGCTCCTGGGCAACCTGCGGCTGCGAGTCAGCCTTCTGCCTCGGAAGAGTCCCCAGCTCCTGAGCAACCTCAAGATCCCGAACAGGCACCCGCCCCTCAGCAGTCTCCCGGTCCTCAGCAGCCCGATCCGCAGCAGGGTGATCCGCAGCAGGGTGGTCCTCAGCAAGGCGATCCCCAGCAGCCTGCTCCACAACAACCGTCCGGGAACGACCAACCTCAATCTCAGAGTCCCCAACCGGAGCCGCAGCAACCCGACCCTTACCAAGCCGACCCCCAGCAATCCCAATCCTACCAGCCGACTGCCGAGCAACCCGCCGCCCAAACGCAGGCCCCAGCCCCGGCATCCAGCAGCGTGCAGCCTGCGGAGGAATCGGCAACAATCGTGACAGAGGACTCCGATGCCCCCAGCGACCTTCCCCTCCCCCTCCCTCCCGCTTCCTCGTGGGCGACGGAGGCTGCGGAAGCGGAAGAAACCCATCGGCCGTGGGGGACGCGCAAGAAGGAAACGGCGACCGACGAGCCGGAAGAGTCCACGCCGACCGAGGAAGCTGACAACGCTGCGGCGACTGAGGAGAGCGGGGGGAACGTGCTGGCCCCGGCTTCAATCGTCGCTCTTTGGGCGGGGGTCTTTGCTGCTGTGTTTGCTTGGTAGTTGCAGACTCTCCACGGCTGAGGTGACGACGTTGCGACGTGGATGTCCAGGGTGTGAAGCAAAGGGGTCCTAGGCATGTAGTCTGCATCTCGAGAATGTAATGCGCAAAACAAAGACGAAAGCATTGTATTTGGCTGGCAATTTCGGGGAGCGAGATTATATGAGTAGGGTATCTATCGCGGTTCCTTTTCTGGTGGCGGTTGGTGAGATGTTATACGTTGATCTTGCCGGAGACTGCAGAAGTAGAAGAAGTGGCAGTAGAGTTTTGAACAAGACAGACGCTTTTCATTCCCATATGATATGGATATGCTGTTGAGCTCGTGAGAAACTTTGAGAGAAGGGGAGATTCAACCCTGGGCTGGCGTGCAAGAGATTCTAGGAGGTGCCCTGGAGCAGTATAGGTCTGCGGGACGTTAACTAGGTTAGATATGTCTGATTCTGATTCGCAACACGGAGAATAACCCGTGACAGATATCCAAAAGTGAAGGTGGAAAAAACCTGTTCCTCGTGCGCATCATAGATCCGCAGATCGAGGGATATCGTGTAGTGGGAGATGACGACGATGATGCTCCGGCTCTTCACTTCTGTCGACTGTTCTTCGGTTTCCGCTTCTTGAAGACAACTGGCGCAACGGTCTCTGCCGCTCCCTCCTCAGTCTTGACGCCGGCATCCGGAACTGGAGGGACCTGCGCCTTGCTGCCTCCCACCACCCCTCCATCTTCATCGGCAGGTTCCTTCTTGACCTCTGTTTCTGTTTTGACCTCGGGCTCCTCCGCCTTGACGTCAGGAACGGTGTCCTCCGCACCATCCCCCATCTCCTCCTCCTCCTTTTTCACCTTCGGTTCCTCGCTTTCCGTCCGCTCCTTCTTCGCCGCCAGGAGCCCACCCCCGCTCAGTAGGGCCTCCAGCTCCGCATCATCCTCCGGCATGGTCTTCGTCCCACCCCACCTCCTCTGCCTCTTGAAAAGAGCCTTGGCCGCCTCCTCCGCTTCTTTCTCCTCCTCCGTCATCACCCTCTTCCGCACGCCCGTGGCCTTTGCCGTGACCTTCGCGTCATTCCGCCCGGACCCCGCCGCCGCCGCCGCAGCGTTGCCCTCGTCATCCTGTATCACCCGCGTCTTCGTCACCGTCCACTCCCCCGGCATGGCCATCTCCCCGCGAAACACGCTCGGCATAGCCACGCCCAGCTGCGCGAGCTCCTCCCTCTGCCGCGCGAGTTCGGCCGCCGTGGGTGTCGGCCTGGAAGAAGAGCCGCTCGCGGTCGCATTCTGCCTGCTGCTGCTGCTGCCGCTGCCGCTGCCCGTGCCGCTGACGACGCCGTTGAGCCGTTCGATCTCGCGTTTGGCGCGTTCCTTGTCCCTCTCCTCGCGCTCGTGGTTGCGGTGCAGGTCGCGCATGAACCGCTTCAGTGCGCCCTGGTGCTTCCCCGTCGCTTCATGGTTCGCGCGCTCGAGTTTGGTGTCGCGTACGAAGACGCTGCAGTGCTTGCACCAGTATCTTGGTGTTGATTTCCAGTATTCGGACATTGTCGGGGACTCTTGGACGGACGGGAGGGGGTTCTTCCTGCTGATGTCGAACTAGCGAGGTTTGTCGTTTGCAGGAGCTGCCGTTCGAGGCGATTAAGAAACTTCCGGTGAATTGTTAGGATTGAATTGTTACTCGTAGGTGCAATGTTCGGTCATGTTCGCAGCGGACGTCACTACCACTTGACCTGCTTACGTAAGTTTCTCTTTAAGATATTTATAGAATTCCTGATTACTTATAATTCTGCTTAATAATATCACAGGTTAGGTACAAAAAAAGGATTCAAGAAAATAAGTTATTAAGCTGCCACAGCCTTAAACTTAACAAACAGGACGACGACGGCCATCAGCATCATCAGCATGAACACTAACCCGCATCCCCCGGCTGAGACTCCCAGCCTCCACCCTTGTCCCACCTGCTCCTCTCCGTTGCTTGTTCTCGCCGGGGCAGTGCTGATTATGCACGTCCACTCCCATCTCCATGGACGGAGAACCACCTCGGCACCAACCCGGAGCCCTGGATGGTTGTCGCCACTGCGTCCCCAAGTCAGTCCTAAATCTCATGAATTATCTACAGTGTATAGAAATCACGAGTATACAGTGTACTTACAATGGCCTGGCGGTGGTGGTGGTGGTGGTGTTGGCGGGACCGACCTTAACAAGGGTGACGGAAAAAAGCCTAAAAGGTCGCTATAACGCCATGTTAGCACTGTATCACGAAGTCAAAGGAGCTGGTATGGAGGATCAGGATGACTTCCAACATTGTGATGAGATTGTTTGTCTTTTTTTGGGAGGAAAAAAACAAAAAAAGCCCATCCCCGGGAATCCCGGATGTGTCTGGAGAAGAGAAGAGTCAAAAGAGAATCCGGGGGCCAGATAGATGGAGCATGCTTGTTAATATAGACGGCATGGGCTCCTCAGACCCTCGAGAGTTACTTCCTAAGGCGGCGCGCCTGGACAAGTAAGGTATGAGTGCCTTACAAGGTTGGTGGCTTATGATGGCGGAAGGCGCACCCCGAGATGTATTGCTCTGTATGGTGTACCACTACCCCTAGATATATTTCTCTGTGCTGTATAAGGTAAGTGCGCAGCTAAGTAGCTCCTGCCCTGTCTCACTGGCACCCAGGCACCCTATTACAGAAAGAGAACATGAATTAGGTATGATGAGTACAGGTACCTTATGTTGATAAAGATTTACGTGTCGAAACAAGAATAAGGGACAACTTGTTCGAATCTACAGAAATACAACTACCCGCTAGTCAGGTGCCGTCTTCAGTACGGCCGATTCTGGCCATACCCTTGGTTCTGCTGGTAGTATCCCTCGTTCTGCTGGTGGCCTTCATCCGACTGGTACTGCTGAGATTGATGCTGACGGTAGTCGTCGGGTCCGTGGTCTTGTCGGTATTGCGAAGGGGGAGGAGGATCATTGTATCCCGGTTGAGCGTAGTCTCCGTGTGATGAATCCCCAGACTGCTGCCCGCCTCCACCTCCAAGTTCCGCATGAGATGTCGGGGCTCCCACACTAACGCCCTCGTTCCCAATATCATCCGGCACGGAAATCTTCACCTTGGGCAGATACTTCTGCACCTTCTGCTCCACCATATTCTGCACGAAAACCCAGCTTGCGCGCTCGAATTTGCGATGTCCACCATTCACAACGGCCAAGATGCCCTCGCGCAGTGTCTCCTGCACTTTTCGCACGAGGCCGCGGATCTTGCCGACCAGCTTGGCCTTGATGTCGTCCCCGAAACCGCGGTCCGCCCGGGACCCGGCATCGCGGTCCATCTGCGCGTCAAATGGGTTGCCGCCGAGGATCTTCTCCAGGGGCCGTTGGAACTCATCGGGCAGCAGCTCAAACAGCCGCTTCTCGATGCCGCCCAGCACTTTACGAAATTCCAGGCGGACTTCCCTGTGAACCTTGGCGAGACCCGTGCTGAGCTTGTCGCTGATGACCTTGGAGAACCCGCCACTTTCTTCCTCCGCATCTCCGTTGCCCCCACTGTCGCCGCGATTCCGACTACCATGGCCGAAACTTCTCGTAGACTCCTCGCTGGATGGCCCCCTTGCATTCCCGAATAAGCTCCCGATGCCCTTTACCAGCCCCTTGACCTGGTCTTCGATCTCGCCCTTGACCCCGTCGCCGAGATCCCGCGTGGTCGTATTGCCGCGCAACCAGCGCTTGATGTGATCCATGGCAATGCGGGTAAACTGTTCCGCGAGGGGCGCATGTTGTTCTCGAAGCTTCTCCCCGACTCGCTCCTTGATCTCGGGGCTGATGAGACGCGCCTTCTCCTCCGGGTTACGCGACGCGTCTTTGACGGTGTTGCTGATCACGCCGAGCAGCCCGTCCAGCTGGAGCCCCTGGCCTCCCGAAACCCCTCCTCTGCCGTCGTTGTCCAGACGGTCCTGGACCACGTTGATGGCGGCGGAAAGGAATCCCATGGCTCCGCCCCGCGAAGACGAAGAATCGGCGCGGTCCCCTCCACGGGACCGGGTCCCGTCAGAAGTTGAACCACCGCGGGTGCCCTCGGTAAGGGCGAAAATGTCACGCACGTCGTCCCCGGCTTCCTCGGTGATCTTGCTGAAGCCGCGGGTCAGCGTGGCGATCTCATCGGCAAAGGGCAGGGACTGGCCGCCGTAAGAATCCGGGATGGCGTCGCTCAGACTCCAGGGGCTGCGTGATTGCGAGCCGTCCGCGGAGGAAGCGCCCCGATCTTTGCTGAAAAGCGAGCGGAAGGCTTCGACGACCTGTGTCTCGAGACTATCGATGGTCTTTTGTTGGAAATCCTCGAGCTCGGCCGTGATGCGGGGTTGGATCTGGGGGGCGAGGGAATCGACATAGTCGTCGACTTTTTTCATCAACACTTCGGGGACGCCGCGAGAAGACATGGCGGTGAGTTGCGTGGATTTGGATTTCGGTGGTTGGAACCGTTGACTGGGATAGCGGGTGATTTGATGCCCAAGGTGCGTTAGCAAGGGGCAAAGAGTTTGGATGGGTAGTTAGGGGTAATCAGGTTAGGTGAGTGAGGCCAAGCGGGGAGGGGAAGCTGAGACGATCTGCAGCAGTGTGGTGGGGGGG